AAACCGAATCGAATTGCTTATTCGGGTCTAATTCGGTTCGGTTCGGTTCGGTTTTCGGTTCGGTTCGGGTTTTCGGACCAAATTCTCATCCCTAGTTCTGAATTGTATTGTGTATTTCTGTCCAAAATTTTCTTCACATTCCGGACTATTCTTTGAATTCCAGAATACGGCACAGAGTAGTCGAAAGGTCAGCTAAAGGCAATGAACAAGACTAAAGGCAAGGAACAAGACTCGATACTAGTTTTCTAAGTTATCAGAGGGTCATCAATAAAAAATAAATAGCTTTTTAAGGTTTTGGATACGAAATACAAATCATTCCGCATATTTTTTTTCCTTATTTTTGACATGAACCATTCCAAACTATGTTTTTTAAGTTGTAAATTACTCCATAAAAAACAAATACAAATAAAGGAAGTAAATACTAACCCGTAAAGTCTTACTATTATCAAGATCAAATGTCATTTTTTTATTTCGCTAATAAGTTCGAGATGTCGTATATATTGTATATATCGGTGTACATTCCAAAATTGCATTAAACAGGGAGTCCATTGAATCAGCAACCCATTTAGCAAGTCAATCTTATTTCTTTTGCAGCAAGTAGGACGTCAATCTCAACACCTAACGGGTAGGACCAGATTCCATCTCTAGTACGTTGACTCTTAAAAGTAAAATACAACATTGGTACATGCACTTATCGTTAACTTACATGTCTGCCTTAAAAGATTTGCTTTCTTTATGTTCTCTTCAAAATTAATACTTGCATTTCATTTGTCTTTATGTCCTATAAATACAATGAAATTTGCTGCGGAACTTAAAATCACGAGAAGACGATGAAATATACAAATTCATTATGATTTTTATTTTGATGATAAATTTTCTTTTATTAATTTATCATTTTATACTAAAACATAAATCTTTGTTGTGTCACATCAAAAAATAAACTTTATTCTTTACTTGTTTGATTCATAAGTTTACTATCTATGTTAGTGAATTTGATCAAACTAAAAATGAATGATGTTATTGATTTAACTTTAAGAATACAAATCTGGCCATAATGGAAAACATTTTATCCTTTTTATTTCACTTTTGTTTCGTTGTATATGGGAGACTATTGAAAAAATATAGCAACATACGGATCATAACCATAATAACTCAAACACAAGGGACTTAATTGAAAATTATCCATCGATAAATACAGTCCCTCAGTCATCATCAACAACACTCAAAAGTCACTCGAGTCACCTGTTTGACTGATGTCACATATCAGATCTTCTCATCTTCATAGTTAGGGAAAAGAAAAGCAGCCTACCACCTCTAGAAATGGAGGTAAGTTTTAGTATGATCAACACAGTGCTATGTGTTGTCGGAGTGATAGTGATGATATACGGATGGAGATTTTTCAACTGGGTCTGGTTGAAACCGAAGAAGATGGACAAGTTCCTGAGAGAACAAGGCTTGAATGGAAATCCATACAAATTTCTGTATGGAGACATAAAAGAGATGGTGCAGATGACCACTGATGCCAGATCGAAACCCATAAATCTCACCGATGATATCATCCCACGTGTCATGCCATTTTTTTATGACTCCGCGCGAAGACTTATGGTAAGCATCTAGTAGAGTTTATTTATTGAGTTTTTTAAAAGGTGGTCTGTTTGACCTTAAGTCAAACATTAAGATCCTGAATATAAGGGCTATACAATCTATGTATATTAGCTGTAAGAAGGTATAATCGGATTTTTCAAACATCATGCGTCCATTAAGACATCTATGTAGGTGATCAAATGCATATAAGATTTCAAATAGTTTGAAACAGTTTCATGGGTCGGATCAAAGTACATTGCTATTTTAGTCCTCTTTATAATCTTTTTGACAACTATCCCTTGTCTTTTAGTACGTACACTGCTGTTTTTACTTATTACATATATGTATGATCAATTTAAGTCTAATAGGAAGCTATCTCAAAAAATGCCATTTACAAATACCAAATATTAGGTGTGTATTTTGCTATTACATATTGCCTACACAACAGGTCAAAATTTCAGACTTTGAACATTTGATTGGTCAGATTTATAAACCATTTTATAAGTATAGATGGTGTTTCTATAAAACTTGTATAGATATTAATTGATTTTCTGAAAACTTCTGTAAATATGAATGACTTTTCTAGACAAAAAAATAAAGTAATAATTTTTCGTATAAAATGCTAGAAAATATAGTGACTTTTCTGAAAATTTACCTTTTATTTATGGACACTTATACATAACTCTATCAATTATTCAATTAAAAAAGCTGAAAATACACTCCACAATAGAAAAGTTTTTTTTTATCAAATAGTGGGACCCACCAATATTGTTTATATCGTTGCTCCATAGATTGTCTATTTACAATTGGTTAAAATTTTATGGGATCACAATAACTGGAGAAGTTATGGCTTGTAATTTAAAACAACATCGTTTTAATAAAGTTATTGGATCTTATGGATGAAAAAGCTCTTGTTTTATTGAAGAGTGAAAATATTTGTATACAGGTAAAGGAAAGAATTTTTACACTTGGATGGGCCCACTACCAATGATTCACATAACAGAACCTGCACTGATACGAGAGGTTTTAAGCAATTATTCTCAGTTTCATAGGATGAAAGGAGGAAATCCTTTGACAAAGTTGCTAGCAAGAGGGCTAGCAGAAGTTGAGGCTGATCAATGGGAAAAACATAGAAAAATTATCAATCCTGCATTCCATGTCGAAAAGCTTAAGGTTCATGTTCATTATATATTACCAGAGCAAAAGTGCCAATATATATGTAATTAAATTTAATAAACCACTGATTCCATTAATGTTCCATATTTGTAGCATATGTTACCTGCTTTTTATGTTAGCTGTAGCGAGATGATCAACAAATGGGAAGATTTAACAAAAGAAAAAGCATGTGAAGTTGATGTGTACCCTTATCTCCAAACGTTTACTAGCGATGCAATTTCACGTACATCATTTGGTAGCAGCTATGAGGAAGGAAGAAAGATATTCGAACTTCAAAAAGAACAAGCAGCATTAGTTATCAAGGCTTTTGAATCAATTTATATTCCAGGTTCACGGTGAGCACCTGTCCTGTTCATAATTTTGGTTTTTTGCCTCCTATTATTTCCTAAAATTAAAGGACAAAAAATAACTCAAGTAATACTGTTTGATTATGAAATTATGATGTTGTAGATTTTTGCCTACAAAGAGAAATAGAAGGATGAAGGAGATTGCCCGAGAAGTGAAGGCTACAATAAACAAAATTATTAATAAACGAGTGACAAAAATGAAATCTGGGCAAAGTTGTAGCGACGATATATTGGGCATATTATTGGATTCCAATTTCGAAGAAATCAAACAAAAAGGGAACACCAGCTTTGGACTTAGTACTGAAGAAGTAATTGAAGAATGCAAAGTTTTCTATTTTGCGGGGCAAGAAACTACTTCAAATTTGCTCGTTTGGACAATGGTTTTGTTAGGCCAACACACCAATTGGCAAGACCGTGCTAGAGATGAAATTTTCAAGGTGTTTGGAGAAAGAAAACCTGATATTGACGGATTAAATCATCTAAAAGTTGTAAGTTTTTTTTTGTCTAGTGATTGGATTTACCAAACTATTTATCAACAGATAAATCCATAATGAATTAAGTAATATATTTTATACCAAGAAAAATATCGAGGTTAAAAATGTAATTAGGCCGATCAAAATATTTTTAAAGCAAGCATGTGACGCCCATGTTTAAACTTGAGTCCTCAGTACTTATGAGTCTCGAGGTATAATCAAAAGCACGTCGCAACAAATAAAAGAAAACAGTCACTTTTTATTATTATTGTACTTGACACGAGTTATGTAAACTATTTTTTTTTTTTTTTTTTTTTGAGATTAATATGATCTTGCACGAGGTACTTAGGCTATACCCGTTTAGTATAGGATTGGGACGGATGATTCTTGAAGAAACTAGATTAGGAAATATTATCTTACCAGCCGGTTCACTCGTTGAATTGCACATGATGCTTTTACATTATGACAATGATATGTGGGGTAGTGACGTGAAAGATTTCAAGCCTGAGAGATTTGCAGAAGGTGTGTCAAAGGCAACAAAGGAGCAAGCATCATACTTCCCTTTCGGTGGGGGTCCACGTACATGTATTGGGCAAAACTTTGCTATGCTGGAAGCAAAACTGGCACTTGTTATGATTCTAAGAGGTTTCTCCTTTAAGCTTTCACCATCGTACAAACATGCTCCACATACTATTATCACTTTGCAACCGCAGTTTGGTGCTCAATTGGTTTTACGTAAACTTTAGTGATTTATGTAGGAGTAACCATATACATATATTGTTATCTGATTTGTCTGGTATACTTATGAAGGAAAACATATCTTTCTTATCACTTCCTTTATTTTTGGCATATTTCCTTCCTTATTTCGTACATTATGTTCACAATGTTGTTGTATTTTCCCCTATATATTATGTATATTATTGGCTTTAGTGAATGAAACTTTTGAACAATTCATTTGATTCTTTATGGTACTACAGCAGGTAACATTGTGATTTTTGAAGACATAAAACCCGTATTTGAGATGTTGAATATGAAGGACACAATCAACAAGATTGATATAACATTTAATCTCAATTGTATAAATGATGAAAATGGTACCAAAAGGTAGGGGCATGCTCAACTAAGAAGATATATGCTTGCTCAACTATATAAACAAAACTATCAAACTACTGTCTAAACTAATATTGTTCTTACAAATGGGAGCTCTACTCTAAATCAATAAAAAAAACACTATATATAAGCATTACTACATAAGTCAAAAGCATTTTCCCTACATGTCATAAAGAGATATTCGAAGTCTACCCAATTCATCTCCCATTGAAAGTTTTGCACCCAACATTCTCCCTTCAAAATTTGTAATAGATGACGAGGCTCTAAATTTCAAACATGCATCTAGCAAATAAGAAGTCCAATTGTGACATCATGATGGTCACTAAACTCCAATGGGTTCCAAAAAAAAGCAACTCAAGTCTAATTTTGAATAAAACTTCCAAATCATCGCTACACTTCCCAAATCTT